ACGCGGCGGCAAGCAGAACAATGGGCATTAAGTGCGAGCGGAAAACGCGTTGAAAATTCTTGATTATTATCAAAAATATTTTTAGTTTTTATATCTTTAGCTTTTGCACTGCTTTCTGGCACTTTCTTTGGCTAGATTCCCCATGAGAAGTACTCTCGATTGTACAATTCAGGCTGTTAGTTCCGGATTTGTAAAATAATGCACTCGATAATTTATCGGAAATATATACATGCATATTTGATATGTATAAACGACTATCGATAAATTTGAGAGTGTTAATAACATTTCATTGGAATTAAAATGCATATGACAATAAATTCATCTGGCATTAAAAATTGATCGATACGTGTCACTTATCGATACTCACTTGCCATTTATCGAGTATTAGCTTTCGCTGCGATATTATTACGATTTATTATTGATTGATTTTGCTTCACTTTTCGATCAAAGCAATATATTTCGACAGCTTTAGATTTAGCTGTGATGTTAAAAGCTTTTATCGATACTTTAGTAACGATATCGATACACTCTGCTTGTTTATTTCCAGCAAGGCATTACCTATCGTTAACGTTGCACTTATCGATAAACATTGATATCACGCACCTAATTATGATTTATCGATACGTACTCAACGATAACGTTTCACTTGTCGCTAAAAGTAAAAGGTATTGATCTTTGGCAATTGCTATAATTATCTACATTATCGATACGATTTATTCATTATTTATCGATAACGTTTCACTTGTCGATTTTCGCTGTGACATAATTTGCATTTATCGATACATGCGCAACGATAGCGATAGCGACATGCACATATATATATATACAAACATTTCCTATCGATCACGTGTCACTTATCGACGAAAGCAATATGCATTTGTCGAGCCTTGGCTTTCCGTCTCCCCATTTGTCGAACCGACGGATGCCGGCGGGTTGCTGCCAATATATCTGCTTCTGTGGCCACTCGCAACTCGCGGGCAACGCGAGCTAATTACAATAAATTATGCAAAACAAGCGACCAACTTGGTCCACGGGCGACAACCACGCCAAACTGTGCAAGCGCTCGTAATTAGAAGCCATTTTCTGGCCAGAGTTGCTTTGATGTCGCCTCAATGTGTGCGTGTGTGTGTTCACCTGGCAACCCTGTTGTCGGCGTTGCATCTATCTATGTGCATCTGCATTTGCCACTTAAACTCGCGCTGTTTTGGACTGTGGCAAGAGTTTTCTACTTCTGCTGCTGCTTCTTCTTCTAGTTGTTGGCTGTTTTGTCACTGCATAACGGTCATAATTAGCATGCCAGGCAGGAGGTGAGTGGAGGGAGGGGAGGGGGGGGAGGGTTGGGTTGAGTGCGAGCAAGACAAACAGCTTGCACCTGCCGCAGGATTGTTGCTGTTGCAGCTTCTGATTTATTGTGCCTCAAAACGCGACCCCCTTCTGCAACCCGCAACCCGCCCCCCTCCCCCCGCTGCTCTCGCTGCCTGTTCCGCTGCTTTAAGCACTTTGTCTGCACTTGCCTCGTTCCTGTGGTCTAGTGTAATCGGAGCCAAAGTTTTCTTTCGAGTTCGTGAGCTTAGCACACGATAATTTATCTGGCTGAACATTGTTAAATTATGTTCACACTTCTGCGTCTGCTTTTGGCTCTATTGTAAATCAAAAGCGATATTTATTTCTTTTTCTCAGCCTTTAATGGAAAATTAAGATGTCCTGGCTGCCCGCCCAAAAGCTGCCTGGCTGCCCGCCTGTCTGCCGTGTTTGTGTGGCTTTATATATGCCCTAGCTGCGGGTATTATGATTATGCCACAAACTGTGCAACGTCTACAAGTTGCCAGGGTTGTGGCCATATAAACTCTGGCCTCGTTTGGGCTACATAAACTCTCTGTCCTCCCATGGACTTCTATGACTGGAACTCAGCTACTTTTGAAGATAAATGCTTGAAACCTGGCATAGATTCTTGTTGTTAAGAGTATCTTTGTCTGGTTGATTTCTCTGCAAGGGTATTTCATCTGCGTCAAGCCGACAATAACAATCCTAATTTCACATTTTGCCTGTACGTTGTGCGGCGTGGCAATTAGCTGGCCACCAAGCAAGTGACTAATGCACACGGCCAGCATGTGTGTGTGTGTGTGTGTGTGTGTGTGTGTGTGTGTGTGTGTGTGTGTGTGTGTGTGGATGCCACGACTGGCGGCACAGGCGACACGCAATAAATTAGCGTAAATTTACAACATTTGCTAAATTAAAAATGGCAAAAAAGAGAGACAACAACAACAACAACAACAACAACAACGACAGCAACAACGGCAACATCATGTTGCACACACACAGAGGCAAATTGAAGCAACATTAGAGACGCATTAGCGTACGCATGGCATACAAAAGGCTTTGGGGGAGCCAGCCAGAGGCGCAGAAAAACGCATGTCACATGCCCCATGCCCCATGCTGCATGCTCCAAGCCACATGCCGCATGCCGCATGCCCCATGCCCCAACTGTTTGCTCGTTTATCGTTGCTGTCAGTTCGACTCAAAGGGGGCAATTAACGCGCCCAGTCGACGAGCAACAACAACAACAACAACAGCAACATCGTGCGGCAACAACGTGTGGCAAAATAGTTTTGTCCATAGTTTGGCATAGACGCTGTCGCCATATTCCCATGCCGAGGGCGACATATTGGCGACGCCATTTTGACGCTGTCGCTGTCGCTGTCGCACGCAAAGGACAATCAACAACAACAACAACAACAACAACAGCAACAACAGCAGCAACAACAGCAACAGCAGCAACAGCAGCAACAAGCATGTTGTTGTTGTCTCGACCATCGTCTGGCGACACAAACAAAACTGACGCCAATTTCTACCCCTAGCTGACCCCCTCTCACCCCTCTGCCTGCCCCAACGCATTTCTTTTTTTTGTGTGTGTGCTATTTTTTCTTCCATTGAATTTATTGCGTTAATTTATTGTGTTTTGCCCATCAAAAGCAGGCAACGACATTTGCATATTATTGCAAGTGTTCGCGTAATTTATGCGACTCTCTCCAAAACTATTCGCCTAGCTAAACTACCCGAATCTAAGGGTTAGGGCATGCCTGCACTTTTTATGGCCAAACTGGCTCGAAAAATGCTGAATTCTTCATTTCAGTTTGAAAGTATTTCTTTTATTTTTAATTTAATTTTCATTTAAATTTAAAAAGAAATTGTTTTATTTGTTTTCTATGTTTTACTTTATTTATTTATATAAATTAAAAAATTGTTTCGAAACAAAAACAATTTCTTTAATTTTTAAATTACAACAATTATTTTTTATTTTATTTTTTTTTTGTAAATAAAAACATTTGCTTTAATTTGTTTTTTTTTTTCTTTCATTTAATTTATAAAGAATTTGTTTTATGTTTTTATTTGTATTTTATTTTTATTTTTTCATTTAAGTTAAAAACAATTTCTTTTATTTTCACTTTTTTTTATATTATTTTTTTATTTATTTTTGTTGCATTTCAAAATTAAAAATTTTGCTTGAATTTCTTTAAAAAATCGTTCTCTTCAGCAACATAAAAACAATTAATTTTGTTTTATTTTATTTAAATTTGTCGTTTTTTTTAGCATTATTAAAGCCTTTGATCGGGTTTATATGGCTGAACATAGCCGCCAGACACAACTGTCCAAATATTTGCTTTGCTTTTTATTGTGCTCACATATTTGTTTAAAACTCGTACGTGCATTAAAAAACAAGCGAGATACTCTACAAAACAACTGCCCGGCTATATATATATGTATATATAATATATTTTAATAATAGTTCAAGCTAAAGTGGGCGCATAAGTGGGTGTGGCTTTGTGACATTTTTTTCTGAGAATTGAATTGAATTTCTCTTATATTTTTTGTCATTTTCTTTTTATAAAATGTATGAATATTTCAAAATGTGTTAAATATGAGAAGCGCTTACCTATTTCCTGGGCGTGGCAGCGTGGCAGTGGGCCAGACAACACAGACCTTGCCTAGAAAATAACAAAAAAATAAATGTCAATAGATAAACTTATGGTAAATAAAACACTTACGCAAATAATTGGGCTTATAAGCATTTTATGTATATATATACATATATATATATTCGAGAGATTTCGATACATATACATAATGTCAAATAGATGTCAAAGGAATCCAATAATAAATACAGCATTTACAGCTAATAATAAATTGCTTAACAAAAGTTACCAATCTGAACGCTAGATGGCGCTGCACGCGCTCCACAATTGTTCTCATGCTTCGCCGCGCAGATTTATGCTAATCTACTATTTTTATATATGCCCATGCTATGCGTGTGAAAGAGAGCGACAGAGAGGGAGAGAGCATGTCTTGGGCTGCAACAAGAAAATGGGCAGAAGAGGAGCAAAAGCCAAAAATCAAAAAGAAAATTGCAACAAAAATGAAAATGAAAAATAAATTTGCCAGCCCGACGAGTCAAACAATCTGCACGCTGTAAAGGGGCGTGGTGGAGGGGGGGGGGGTGTGGTGTTCTGTAGAGGGCGTTTGCCAGGCGGTGGGCGGTGGGCGGAGCGATATTTTGGCTGGCGTAGCTGGCATGCGGCACAACATAAATCTTGGCACAGAAGTCAAGCGGGCCGCGGGCCCTTTCCAAAAATCCCCTCCTCCCCCCCACCCCCATTCCTCTGCTGCCCGCTGCCTGCAATTTGGTTCACTCTAATGCAATTTTTATGTGCGCCTGTGTTTTGGCTCTTTCACTAAAAGCCAAATGCATTTTATTGACAAATTAATTGCAGGCAATGCCAGCAATTAAAATTGCAAACTGAAAAACCAAATAAAACGAAAAGAAAAGCCAAAAAAAAAAACCAAAATAATAAGTCGAAAAAAAGCTATTTTTATGTGCGCAATACGCACTGAAAACTCTTGTAACTGCGCTTTAATATTGTTACGTTATATTATTTGATTTTTGTCTCACACTCATCTCTCTCTCTCTCTCTCTCTCCCTCTCTCGCTCTCTTTTATTGCAGGTGAGTTCCGATTGGCTGCTGCTCAACTGTCGATCTGTATATCAATTGCCGTTTCATTATTACCGTTAACAACAACAACAACAACAACAACAACAACGATAACTGTTTTATATCAGCGTGAGTTGAGCTCTTATGATCGACTATAAGCTGCCCTGTAATGGACTATTTATGATTCAAAAAAGAACTTTAAAGTTTTTGTATATATTTTAAGTGCTCAGAATGCTTGCTGAAAGATATTAATATTTCTTATTATATATTATTATTATACCTTATATTTCTTACAATAGAATGTTTTAAACGCCTTACAAATTCAATAAATTTAGCGTCTTTTTCTCTAGACATTGCCCCTTAAATTGGTTGTCCCTTATTAACTTAGGACTCTGTGATTCACTGAAACCCCTGAAATACTAACAGAATTCTCAGTGGGTTTAGCTAGCTAGTTGCAGAATGTACTTCAACAAAAACCCACAAACTATTCTGATTTTTTTTAAAGAGACTTACATTCTGTTAAAATGTTAACTCTTCTGATTACAAAAGTTTGTTTTTACACTGTTTTGGGTCATTTCATTTCCTACAACAATTTAAAATTTGAGCTTAGTTTAGCTCTAACAGGATTATTTTTTGCTTACGCAATCTATATAACTCAATCTCAGCACAAGATAAAACTCTGTCTTACACTGAAAGAAAAAAAACCTTAGACAGCAGCAAAAACAACAACAATAACGAATTGAAAAAAAGTAGCATAACAAGCCGAAACGTCAATCAATCTCTTTTTTTCTGACATATTACAAACAATTAAAGCAACTTATGCGTAATTGATAATTTTCGATCGACAATTCGACTTTTATCTCTCCCTCTCGCTCTCGCTCTCGCTTCCTCTCTTTCTCTCTACTTTCTTGTGCAAACTAGTTTTGGTTTGCGTGTTGTTGTTGTTGCTTTCTGTTTTGGCACCTGTTTACACGCTTTATTTGCGCTCGTGTGTGTGTGTGTGTGTGTGTGTGTGTGTGTGTGTGGGTAACCGTAAATCATTAAGCAGCCGAAAAAAAAATGAATTGACAGCAACACGTGTCGTGTCTGTTGGAGACTTAAAAGCACACACAACAACAACAACAACAACAACAACAACAACAACAACAATTGTAATTGCTACAGTTACAACTATGGCAACAACAACAACAACAACAAGTTTAAAACCCACGTGGGCTTATAAAACTTGAGCGCTCGAGTCTTTCAATTTATTGCATTGAAACTGAAAAGCTAGCAAAACGAAAATAAAAAAAAGTTGACACCATTTCAGCTGAGCGAAACTTGAGACGGCGGAGGGTGGAGGAGGCAAGAAGAAGCAAGCAAAAGGCCGCCGGCGGCGGGTCAGCAGTCAAATATGCGCAGCGCACCCCCCCCTCCCCCGCCTCGCTAGGCTATCAATAAATGTAATATCGAGACGCGCAGGAAGCATAGCAAGAGGAAGAAGAAGAAGCTGCAGTCAAGTTTCAGGGCTGGCGCAAAACCAAAAGAAATTTAGGCAAAAGGCAGTAAAAAAGAATGCAAGAAGAAGCAAAACAGCTGAAGCAGCGTCTACAAAAGTAAAACACCCTTGAGACAAAAATACACACATACACACACGCAGACACAGCGCGGATGCTGATAAACAAAATATGTCAACGAAAATGTCGTAAGAACAAAAATACCAACAACAACAACCACGGGCATAGGAAGCAGCAAAAACTTAGTAGCAGCAGCAGCAGCAGCACAAAAGCAGGCAAAAACTTTTACACAAAACACACGCACACAGACGAATACTCGACACTCACACAGACGAATACTCCACACTCACACACACACAGACGAAGAGCGAAGGAGAGGCAAGCCATGCAGAACTTTCAACGGTTTTTCCTTTTATTTTGTCTGCCCAGGCGACCGACAGTGTTGTGTAAGGGGGCGAGCTTTAGCTACACACTGTTGGCGCAAAAGAGATAGATAGCAATTGCCGAAAGCGTCGCGCCCTCAGACGTATTTTGTTGCTGTAGGTTGTGGTGGGCAACTGTGTCGCTTGCTTTGGAGTTTGCTTCGCTACACAGACAGGCAGGCGGCTGGTGGTTGGCGGCAGGGGTCGGCAGCGGGTGTTGGGTGGCTGGTTGGCTGGCTGGCTGGCTGGGTCAACTCATGGCTTAATTGGGTGGCTGGGCAGCGTCTGCCGAGACGCAGCCAAAGGGAAATTGCTTGTTGATTTTTTTCTTCCTTCTTTTTTTTTTTCGGACGGACCAGTCGTAAGCCGAGCGCTCGGCTGAGCTTCGTATGTCGGTCGGTCGGTTTGTCGGTCGCACGCTTTTGCGCTTGTACATAGACGGCGCCTGCTGCTCAGTGTGCGTGTGCATATATATATATGTGTGAGTGTGTGTCTGACGCCGTCTGCCTTTGCCTGCTGTACTAGACGCGCCCGGCGCCTCGCCCAAGCTTGCTCTCTCTCTCTCTCTCTCTCTAACTCTCGCTCTTTGCTGCCTTCTACTCTTTTGTCTGCGCTGCGACACAGTTTTATGTGCATGCTTGTATTGGTATGTGTGTTCATCTAAAACTTTGTTGTGTGCTTTTCTGTGCCAAATGTCGGTCGCTGCTGTGCGTGTGTGTGTGTGTGTGCTTCTGTGTCTGAAACTTTGGCGCGTGTTTGGCATTAGAGACAGTCATGTCAGCAAAAGTTTGAGGCACATTCAACATTCCAAGTTTATGTCGTTGTCGTTTTCGTTGTTGTTGTTGTTGTTGTCGCAGTAGCCGTTGCTTTTGGGCGTGGCACTGTGGGCGTTGGCAGACATGCTTTACGTTCCACAAGCACGCCCCGTTTTTCGCCTTCTTATGTATTTTGCTGCTTCTTCTTTTACGTCTTACACATTAAAGCTTCGCTTAAAGCACACAAATTTCGCGAGTTTAAGTACATCATTTAGATAAGAGTGCTTTTTTTCGGTGGGATTGGTTAATTTCTTTCTAACAGTAACTATGTAGCTTGTTGCTGAGGGGGGGCGCAGAGGGTGCAATGATTTCTATCACTTGCCCCAAATTAGATTTGAAGCTTTCCTTACAAATGGGCCAATCAAAATCGAACTGTAACCCTTTTTTTGAAGCAGCATTTCATGGAACTAGTTCGTTTGTGACATTTAAATGACATTTCGACATAATTTAGTTATTTCCTAAAATCCAATTACCGAAGTATTGCGTGGTATTTTCAAAATCCTTGGCAGCTTGTTTTTTTTGACATATTCTTTGGAACAAGTTCTTTGGCGTTAAGTATACACACTTTTCTACATATTCTTGCGAACTAGTTCTTTCATGTTCAAGATTTATAATTTGTTTGACATATTCAAGGGAACTAGCTCTATCGCGTTCAACATTCATACTTTTTTTCACAAATTCTAGGGAACTAGTTCTTTTGCGTTCAACATTCACACATTTTTTTTGACACATTCCGGGGAACTTGTTCTTTATTTCAGTTACCATTGCAACATGTTATATGCTCGCTTTTGTTGGTGCATTTGGAACTAGTTCACCTACCCTATATGAATTCTGCCAAGACATAAAGAACTAGTTCCTAAGCATTCAAATTTGCTGCCTTTCCTTCCAGTTGTGTTTGCTCCAATTGACGTTTTTTTTGTTCCGAAAATAGCTTCTTGTGGTTTCTTGGGATTTACGTAATACATTAGTTAGTTTAGTTGGCATTGTTTCCTTTTAATTTATTTATTTTTTACTTGTTTACTTGTGAACTAGTGAACTAGTTGTCTCGCCCCCCACAGATATTCGAATAATTGCCTGTTTTAAATGTCATCACAGCCTTTTCTTGGCCATAATCATCAATAATTGTCAGCTCCATTTTGTTCATTCTTTTATAGTTTGTTGGCGCCTTTGTCCTTGATCAGGTCACGCACTTTGAAAGCGTTTCGCTGAAGAGATTCCTGGGCTGCGTTCCCCGAGCACGTTCTCCAGACGCGCCCAGCAATTACTTAGATGCCCGCTTGACCAGCTGGCCAAGTGGGCCCGGGTTGGCCCGTGTTGGCCCGAGTTGGTGTGATGCCTATCAATTTGTTGAAATCATTTCCGCAATTTTATTGCCTCGTCTGCTGGCAAACGACAGCTCGTGCCATTGGAACGCGGGGGCGTCAACGGCAGCGCCCTAAGTAGAAACTGTTTGTGGAGGCGTCTCTCGGCACGGCCATAACTCTTTATGCCTGGCCGGGCGCAGCTGGGATTTTGGCTGCAATGTCTAAATTCCATCTCGGCTAGGTCAAGTTTGGCACTCTTTAAACTGGGTTGAACACGAGCGTGCTTGTAAAACGCCAAAAACTAAAGAAGAGAAAAACATAGCGAAAAAAAAAACACAAGGCAGCTGCCCCGCACAACTTGGTAATAACTTGTTTTGTTGCCGCTGCTGTTGAGCTGCCAAATGGATTTTTGCATTACAATGTCAGATTAATCAAAACGAGGCAGCAGCAAAAAGCTACAAAAAACAAAAAGTGGGCTCAGATTGAGTATGTCTGACTAGCAAATACCCTGCAACAGACGAGAATTCGTACTCTCTATAGTATAAGAGGGAAAGATCCGAAGTTCGTTCAACCTTTCAGGTATACCTAAAGAGTCTCATATATTCTCCATAATCGATTTATTTATCGATTGTATAAATGCTAATATATATGGGACAGTTATCGAACAAGCTTCTCTAGTTTAATAAGTTTTTCTTTCAATCTCTCAGATATATAAAAAGTATCTTTTTCTTTCAATCTCGCAGATATACACAAATAATCTCTGCTTAGCTGCACAATCGATTTATTTATCGATTCTACTATCGATAAAATGATAATATTTAAATTGAAAGTCTCTCTAGATCAGGAATGTCTACAGCATGTCTACTCTTCTTAGCTATTTTCAGGGGGTATTCGAAAAACGTTAGAGAAAACCGACAATTGTTTGGCCAAGAGGCAGGCACTCGGCTGCGGGAACGGATGAGGAGTGTGGCTCGGTTGCGGGGTGCGGCGCATAGTGTTTGCTGCGCTTCGAAAGAAATACGAATGCATAAAATTTTATGTTTTTCTGCTACTTGACGTTGGCAACAAGTGGGCCAAGCCAACAGCAATAGCAACAGCAATAGCAATAGCCATGGCCGCAACCGCAGCAGCAGATGATTATCGTACGGGCCGACAATAACAACAACAACTGCAACAACAACTGCAA